CAGGAATCTCCCTGCGTCGACGGCACGGTGGAAAAACCCCCTCTTTTGACCCTCAAAGAGGGTCTCCCTACTCACCAGTCCGCGGCCCCAAACCTGCCTTGGACCAACAGCCACCCAGGAGCCCGCGCATGCGCAACGCAAAACACAGCCCCGAGGGAGGGGGGTCCCGCCGCGCGTACGCTCGCTAGCCCCGCCCCGCCGCTGACCAACGTCAGAGGGGGCGGTGCTTACTTAGCTCCGCCCCCCTCCGCATGGGTGTTCTTTTTTCCTGCAGTTTGGCGCTCAAGAAGGAGTCATAGAATCATCATGTGTGGGTCATCCAGTCCAACCCACTACCAAGAAGCAGGAAAATCGCATTCAAAGCACCCCCGACAGATGGCCATCCACCCTCTGCTTAAAAGCCTCCACCACACTCCGTAGCAGAGAGTTCCACTGCCAAAGTTAGTAATAAGTAGGTTCTTGTGGGTTTTTCGGGCTATAGGGCCATGTTCTAGAGGCATTTCTCCTGACGTTTCGCCTGCATCTATGGCAAGCATCCTCAGAGGTAGTGAGGTCTGTTGGAATTAGGAAAATGGGTTTATATATCTGTGGAATGACTGGGGTGGGGCAAAGAGCTCTTCTCTGCTGGAGCTAGGTGTGAATGTTTCAACTGACCACCTTCATTAGCATTTAAAGGCCTGGCTGAGCCTGGGGGAATCTTTTGTTGAGAGGTGTTAAGATGTGCCTCGTTGTTTCCTCTCTGCTGTTTTGCTGTTGTAATTTTAGAGTTTTTTTAATACTGGTAGTCAGTTGAAGCATTCACACCTGGCTCCAGCATAGAAGAGCTTTTGTCCCACCCTGGTCTTTCCACAGATATATAACCCCATTTTCCTAGTTCCAACAAACCTCACTACCTCTGAGGATGCTTGCCATAGATGCAGGCGAAACGTCAGGAGAAAATGCCTCTAGAACATGGCCATATAGCCCGAAAAAACCCACAAGAACCTAGTGATTCCAGCCATGAAAGCGTTCGACAGTTAGGAAGTTCTTCCTAACTGAGAAATGAGATATACCATTGGATAGTTATCTCTTTGGCCTATCTCTTGTAGACTTAGGAAACTTCCAGCTCTCACATTCAAAGAACCCCCGACAGATGGCCATCCAGCCTCTGCTTAAAAGCCTCCAAAGAAGGAGTCTCCAGCACACTCCATGGCAGAGAGTTCCACTGGTGAACAGCTCTTACAGTTAGGAAATTCTTCCTAACTGAGAAATGAGATATACCATTGGATAGTAATCTCTTTGGCCTATCTCTTGTAGACTTAGGAAACTTCCAGCTCTCACAGTCAGGAAGTTCTTCCTAATATTCAGGTAGAAAAGGGGTCCTCAAACTTTTTAAACAGAAGGCCAGGTCACAGTCCCTTCAAACTGTTGGAGGGCCAGATTATAATTTGGGAAAAAAATATGAATGAATTCCTATGCACACTGCACATATCTTATTTGTAGTGCAAAAAACACGTAAAAACAATACAATAATTAAAATGAAGAACAATTTTATCAAATATAAACTTATTAGTATTTCAATGGGAAGTGTGGGCCTGCTTTTGGCCGATGAGATAGGATTGTTGTAGTTGTTGTGTGCTTTCAAGTTGTTTCAGACTTAGGTTGGCCCTGAGCGAGGGCCGGGTTAATGACCTTGGAGGACCCCTGAGGTAGAACCTCCTTTCCTGTAGTTTGAAGCCATAGTTTAGCGTCCTAGTCTCCAGGGCTGCAGAAAACAAGCTTGCTTCTTCCTCCCTATGACTTTCTCTCATATATTTATACATGGCCATCATGTCTCATCTCAGCCTTCTCTTTTGCAGGGTAAACATGCCCAGCTCTTTAAGCCATTCCTCATAGGGTTTGTTCTCTAGACCCTTGATCATTTTAGTCGTGGCCAGAGCCTGTGGAACTCTGAGAATGTTGGACTACATTTCCCATAATGCCCTGGTTGTAATTGTTTAACGTGGGGTTCTGGGAGTTGTAGTTCAATAAAATTTGCCTGTTGCTTCTTGGATGAAAGGAGATGTCATCACAACCATAGAAGGGAGGCTCGAGCCTATAATTTTAGACTATGCTAAGACAGACATACACAGCAGAATAATTAAGAGAAATCCAAACACCAAGGTTTTATTTATTTATATACAACATTAATATGCCGCCCTTCCCACCACCGAAGGGGACTCAGAGAAGCTTACAAGATATATACACATACAATATATTATATTATTAGTATAGCACAATATCAATATTATATATTACTATAATATAATATACTATACAGTACCATTACAAATACAGCTATGTGAGTGCACCCATAATATAGTGGGCCCTTGGTATCTGCTGAGATTTGGTTCCAGGACCCTGTGCAGACACCAAAATATATAGATGCTGACATCCAACATCATTTTATATGCAATGGTGTAGTAAAAAGATTTCCTTTATTTAAAAAAACAACAAGATCATCATTTGCTTTTGGGAATTTTAAAATAATATTTCCAAACTATAGATGGCTAAATTCATGCTGATTGCAATTGGGTATATCCGGATAGTCCTTTAAGCATCCCTGTGATTCCTTTTTGCATTGTTTATTCTTATGGTTCCATTTGGTAAAACCAAATCGCTTTCTTAGTATCAGTTGACCATATTACATAATCAACAAGATAGCTTTTGGGAAGCACGAAGGAAACGACAAGAAGAAGAGGAACAAGAAGAAAAAGGGGAAGAAGAAGATGGAAATAAGAGGTGTCATGTGGCGTTTTGGAGAGTCATGAGGTTGGCCTCCACAAGAAGACAAATACATATATCTGAAACCTAAAGATATTGGGTGACCATCTGTTGGGAGTGCTTTGATTGTGTTTTCCTTCGTAGCAGGAGGTTGAGTAGGATGGCCCTTGGGGTCTCTTCCAACTCTGTGATTCTATACCAGGCATGGACAAACTAGGCTCTAACTACACAGATATCTATACATACAATGTTAATACACAAATGTCCTACTACTGTAAACTTCAGCTCAAATACCAATTGGAGTAATGAGAAAAATACCAAACTAACTCATATAATACACAAGCATGGGAAACAAACACATAGGAACAATTTACAACAGTGTAACAAACATAATATTCATGTTTTTCAAAATGATTTGTCAGATCTTCCAAAGATCGTGTGGACAAACTTCAACATGTCCAATATTGTCCCATATGAATTCAAAATGTGATAAACAGTCTTGGGAATACAACAAGGTTCCTGTGTGCTTTTATGTCCTTGTTTCAAGAGGAGTATTCCTTCTTCCGGTTTCTTTCAAGGTTCCTTCATTCATGAGTTGGTTTGGTATTTTTCTCATTACTCCAATGGGTATTTGTGTTGAAGTTTATAGTAATAGGACATTTGTGTATTAACATGGAGAAACTTGGCCCCTCCAGTTGTTTTGGGCTTCAACTCCCACAATTCCTAACAGCTAATAGGCCCCTAAACCTTTGAGGATGCCTGCCATAGATGTGGGTAAAACGTCAGGAGAGAATGCTTCTGGAACACAGCCATACAGCCCGGAAAACTAACAGCAACCCATTATTATTTATTTTATTTCGGGTACTTTTACCCCGCCCTTCTCAACCCCCGAGGGGGGGACTCAGGGCGGCTTACAAAAAGGCACAATTTGATGCCTATACAAATTACACGTAATGTACAAAACCATAGTTAAAACCATTATCACAGTTAAAACAATCAAAACAATCAGTATATAACACATCATATAAAAACTATTCACAAGCTCAGCGTTCGTCTTTCAGAGTTCCATAATTCCATTCCATTAGTAATTTCCTGCCCATTGTCAAGTCCTTTCTTTATCTGCCCGATTGTCCAAATGCCTGGTCCCAAATCCATGTTTTCAGTTTTTTCCTAAAGGAAAGGAGTGATGTTGCTGATCTAATTTTCCCAGGGAGTGAATTCCACAGGTGGGGGGCCACAACCGAGAAGGTCCTGCTCCTCGTCCCCGCCAACCTCACTTGTGACAGAGGCGGGGCCGAGAGCAGGGCCTCCCCAGAAGATTTTAGACTCTGGGGTGGGACGTAGAGGGAGATCCGTTCGGACAGATACACTGGGCCGGACAGTAGGTTGTTAGGAATTGTGGGAGTTGAAGTCCAAAACACCTGGAGGGCTCAAGTTTGCCCATACTTGTTCTGTACTGCTAGGACTCATTCCAAACATTGAACCATAGGTCACAAATAGGTTCAGCACCTTGGATAGATCCTTGACCATTTGGATTTCAGCCCTGACCAGGTTGACCATCTCACTGATACTGAAGCAAGCAAGAATCCCCGGATGAGATGTGAAGGAAATGTCTGGATACACAAAATTATTGCATGAGATCTTGCCTGTGACCTTTGAAACCAATCACAGGGCAGACAACAAGGAAATGGAGTGTATTTTCTAATCCAATTCTCCCCTGTGACATCTCGGTTGCATAAGATCATCCTCCCTCGTTGGAATGTATTTCAACCCTGTGTCATCAGCCCTTGCTTCGGATTATCTCGGTCTGAAATAGTCAAATAAATAGAGGAAATCCCCATCCGAGATCATAAACAGTTACTAGAATCTGATTGGCCTTACAGTCCCCATATCGCTTTCTTATTGGCTACGAAAGTAAAAACCCCGCCTTCTTCTTGCCGCTATACCCTTTTATTTGAATATTGAATGCGATTGGTTAGAAGAGTGGTTTATCACGCTTTTCTTCTTCCGTATTGGTTAAGAAGAAACAGCCTTCAAGACCCACCCCCTGGGATATGTATCTAAAAGACAGGACTGGAGCTATTCTCAATCATTTCGAGGCTGATGGGTTCTTGAAAGGGGCATGGCTTAATGCGTGTGGCAATTATTCATCACCCTGCGCCCTGATTGGCGGATTCTTAAGTAGCGCGCGGGCATAATTTATACACGCGCACGCGAGGGAGGGAGGGAGGGGCGTGGCTATGCTAATGACCCCCGGGGAGGGGGAGGGGGAAGAGGAGGCCCGGGCTGCCAAGATGGCGACGGAGCGGAGTCGCTCCCCGATGGGAGGCTCGCCGGTGCCGGCCTCGATGTTCGCCCCGGAGCCGGCTTCTCACGGCGGAGGGGCCGGGGCTCCGGGGTCGGCGCCTTCGCCTGCCAGGCCTCACCTCGGCGGAGGAGTCCCGGACTCGGACTGCAGCGAGGACGGCGAGGTGCTGAACGGAGAGCCCGAGCTCGACCTCACCAGCAAGGTAGGCCGCTTCCCCTCGCCCAAGGCCCTATCGGCCACCGTAGGGACCCTTTCTGAGGCAATCCTCTCACTCCCGTGTATTCTGGCGCTCGTCTGAACGTGCCAACGCGGGTTGGCGCTGCTTCTGATGGCCGTGGACGTGGCAGGCGCCGGTGGCGGAGCTCTGGGATGCCAAAGCCTTCTAGCACTCCCCTAAAGGCCGCTTATTCCGAAGTGAGACCCTCTCTGGGGCATCTAGACCAGGCATGGGCCAAGTTGGGCCTTCCAGGTGTTTTGGACTACAACTCCCACCATTCCTAACAGCCTCAGGCCCCTTCCTTTTCCCCCTCAGCCGCTTAAGCGGCTTAAGCGGCTGAGGGGGAAAAGGAAAGGGCCTGAGGCTGTTAGGAATGGTGGGAGTTGTAGTCCAAAACACCTGGAAGGCCCAACTTGGCCCATACCTGTTGCAGATACACCCTCTGTTTATCTGATGCATGTCAGGATAATGCAGGATCGCAGACTTCTACATTTGACACCACTTTACATGCCACGGTTAGTGACACCTAACCATTGTGGATGAATAGAAGTCACAGGGGTTTCCAACCTTTTTTTGACTCTCTAACATTAGTACCAAAAGGATTACGAATCAATTTTTGTCTACTTTAGTTTCGGTTTGGTTATTTGGGGTGCCGATTCAGAAAATTGCCTTGGATAGACCACATCAGCTCTAGTGGTTATTTGGGGTGCCGATTCAGAAAATTGCCTTGGATAGACCACATCAGCTCAAGTTTCTGATACAGAACATATGCCATCCAGTAGTCGCCATCTGCTCGCCCACAGAAAACCATATTTAATAACGTAGAGATGATGTGGTCTCTCCAATGCAAGTTTTTGAATCATTCAGCGCCTTCCAAGTTGCCCAGCCTTCTGTGTACCCAGGAGGAAGTCTCTCATTTGGGATCAGCCATGGATTGAGGTTCTGGGTTTTAGCCTGCCACTTTTGAACTCTCACTTGCTGAGGTGTTCCTGTTAGTATTTCTGTAGATCTTAGAAAATTATTTCTTCATTTAAGGTGTTGGCATGCTGGCTGATATCTGAACAGAGGATGGGCCAGAGATGTCACTACCTTGGAAATTAAAAAAAAAATAACCCCAGGAACAGGCCTAAAAATGAAGACTCTCTAACTTCACAGATGCAATGTTAATACACAAATCATAGAATCATAGAGTTGGAAGAGACCTCGTGGGCCATCCAGTCCAACCCCCTGTCAAGAAGCAGGAATATTGTATTCAAAGCACCTCTGACAGTTGGCCATCCAGCCTCTGTTTAAAAGCCTCCAAAGAAGGAGCCTCCACCACACTCCAGGGCAGAGAGTTCCACTGCTGAACAGCTCTCACAGTCAGGAAGTTCTTCCTTATGTTCAGATGGAATCTCCTTTCTTGTAGTTTGAAGCCATTGTTCCGTGTCGTAGTCTCCCGGGAAGCAGAAAACAAGCTTGCTCCCTCATCCCCGTGACTTCCTCTCACATATTTATACATGGCTATCATGTCTCCTTTCAACCTTCTCTTCTTCAGGCTAAACATGCCCAGCTCTTTAAGCCGCTCTTCATAGGGCTTGTTCTCCAGACCCTTGATCATTTTAGTCGCCCTCCTCTGGACACATCCCAGTTTGTCAATATCTCTCTTCAATTGTGGTGCCCAGAATTGGACGCAATATTCCAGGTGTGGTCTAACCAAGGCAGAATGTCCTATTACTATAAACTTCAGCACAAATCACTCAGCCATGGATCCCCACTGGGCGACCATAGGCAAGTTACATTCTTGCAGCCTTAGAAAAACCAATGATAGAGTAACTGTCAGTCAGAAATGACATGAAGGGACATGATAACATCCTCCTTGTATATAATAATGTAGTGAAGTGTTAGCACCTTTGATTTATTTTTTGTATATTAACTATGTCAAAGTAGCAAGATTGCTTGTTTCATTTAAATAATTTATTATATTTGTTATTATTCCGCTTTTATCTCTTGATCAAGCCACAAAGCGGCTGACAACATCAAAATACAATTTAAAATCTGTAGCTTACAAATTTTAAAATAGAATTTTATTTATTTATTTATTTACTGCATTTCTATACTGCTCTTCTCACCCTTGGGGGGACGGGGGACGGGACTCAGAACAGTTTACAACATGGTTGTACAACATGTACAATACTAATATATTAGTATTACTATATTACAATATTATTATAATGTGTTATATTGTATTATTAGTATTATATTGTATTACATTATAATATTATTATGAATATTCTATGTATATACAATATATTATATTATTAGCATAGAACAATATTAGTATTATATATTACTATATTGTACTATACAACTATACTGTAATATTATTAGTAATATTACATGTAATATGTAATATACAATTATTATATTATATTGCATTATTATTAGTATTATATTGTATTACATTATAATATTATGATCAATATTATATGTACATACAATAATTAACATAACAATATTAGTATTATATATTACTATATTGTACTATACTACTGTACTGCAATATTATTAGTATTATTTCATGTAATATATAATGTACAAATTAGTTAAAATAATTTTAAACTCTCAAAACACTTAAACATTGTGAAATATAATCAAATACCACCAAACACACACCCCTCACATTTGAGAACTTTCTTCTTTAAAATCCTGCCTGAATAAAAAGGCTTCAGACTTCTTCTGGAAGGATAGCTGGAAGCGGGCTATTGTAACTTCTCCCTTTGAAGTGATTATTATAATTTGCATTTTATCCCTTCCTATAGTTCTGTTGCAAAGCCCAATTTCTGAAGTTGTTCCCGAGAGCAGAAGTGCCACCTTTTTTTCTAATACTAGCTCAAAATGAAAACAAAATTCAGAGAACAAAATCCCATTCAAAGGGGACTTCATCCCTTTATGGTGTACAATATGGATCTTTTATGAAATGTATAAGAGAAACATTTTTGAGAGAATGTGATCTCTGATATCTAACCAGGCATTCGGGTAGGTGGCTTCGTTTTCCTTTACGAAATCAGAAAGAGCAATATGGATATTTTATTTCTTTGTTAGCTTGTAATGGTGAGCCCAACATCGGAACAGTATGATAGCTTACTACGGCAGATGTGGGAGAGAATGGATGAAGGATGCGGAGAGACCATCTATGTCATTGGACAAGGATCAGGTGAGTCTGGTTTCCTTCTCCAGTACCACAAATAAAATATTAACAGGGCTCAGTACAAGTGGCTTGAATTATGGTATCTGAAAAATGTGTGGTTCATACTTGAGGGTTAAATGCTTTTATTTCCTCATAGTAACAAATGCATTTCACCTTGCCTGTAGGTGACTAATGCTTTGAAATTTATTGGTCACATTTTGCCTCCTGCCATAGCAACACAAAGCATTTTCATAGACAACACCAACCTGTATTTGAATAAGCAAAAGGCAACCAGTTGAAGGCAATGTAGTGTCCTGTGACACTTTCACAGTATTGTTTGTATTTTTGCTTTTTGTCCAAAATGAATGCTTGGATTTTTACATTTTTGTGTGTATGTGCTCTAATTTTCAACAAAGCAAGTTCAAAACATTCCAAAAAATTAATCCCTATCTATTTTCCCAGTAAGATGGGCGTATTGTCTTTCTTTCCTCCGAATATATAGTGGGGAAAGGCTCCTCGTCCCCACTAAAGTAACCAAAGGTTTTAGCACTTATATCAGTAGGAAGCATAGCAGCAACCCAATTGGATGGCCCCCCATGAGGGTCTTCTTCGAGGGGCAAACCAAAAATGGGCAACTTGGAAGTCCCTGAACAGACTCAGAAGTGGAGTGGCAGATCAAAAGACAATCTGGCAAAATTGCACTACCTAAAAGAATCCTCCACCTTGTGCAACTGTGGAACAGAACAGCCAGTTCTGCATCTGTATGCATGTCCTTAATGTCCTGCCTCATGTACAGAGGAAGAATTGTTTGAGGCTACAGATAATGCAGTTGCTGTTACCTACTTTTGGTCAAAAGATATTTAGCTGCTTATGCTCCTTCTAATTTTATTAATTTTATACTAATTTATGCAATACTTTTAATACGAAATAAATAAATAAATAAATAAATAACCGCAATCAGCCCAATCCTCAAAAGAATGAGAAACCAGTGATCAAAAATAATTTCCTTCAGTTCATGAACCATGGGGCATTTATGCACTTGAATATTTGTTGTGTGAATGAGACTTCCATTTTGCACATGTTTTGCATGATGTCTTTGCAAATATGAGCTCCTGCCCTTTGTACTACCACAGTTTTTTAAATATTTGAATAACTATTTATGATGGGTGGGCAGGTTGTGAGTATCCTGATGTCAGTTTTTTGGAGCCACCACAGGCCAGAGCAGGCCCTCAACAAAAGAAAATAGAGGTAAGCAAAATCTGTTTCAGGTTTTGTAAGCTTCTTTTGGCAGGGGGAAAATTTAGGCAAAATAAAAGATGCAGGGTGGGCTCTGTTTTGAAAGAGCAGCAATTTCCCCTTTATAGCAAAACAATCACTATGGAAAGGACACTGAGAGGAGTCCAAGGGCTGCAAAAATGGTTCTGAAGGCCTGTGGCCCACATGATTGTGACCCTTGACTTAGAAGCAGGGATCCAGTTGGGCTTTTCCTGCTGGGTCTTCAAGCAGTGGAAGAAAGCATTTGATTAGTATAAAACAGTCTGCCTCTTCTGTCACACATGCTCATGCACACACATGCACTAGTAGATCTGTACTATCCAGCTTGGATTAAAGATAGGTCTGAGCAAAACAGTTAAAGGTATAAGCATTTGGAATTGTCATTCAGGTGCACTTGATTTTTTTTGTTTGCTTCCATTGTAGGCACGAGCAACATGTGGTTCACATGTGACTCTACTGCCACCCATTTTGCTGTACCTATATGCTGGAAAAAATGATTTTTCATTTGTTACTTTTTTAATCGAAAACAAGTGTGTGAGAAATATGGTCTTGGGTTAAAATAAATTTGTGTTCTGCAGAGTTTGATTTGTGCTTCTTAAGTGGGTTAAGTGGGTTGGTTGGCAAGGAATTTAGCATGCTCTTCTTCTACTGGGAACTTGTTCACCCCCACTGTAGTATTCCTCAGATTGTTTTATGTACTTTCAAATCAACTCTGGGGCTCCTTCTACACTGTCCTTATATCCCAGGATCTGATCCCAGGTTATTTGCTTTGAACTGGATTATATGATTCTACACTGCCAGACAATCTGGGATAAGCAGATAATCTGGGATCAGATCCAGGGATACAGGGTAGTGTAGAAGGGGCCTGAATTATGATAAAATGTTCATAGTTTTTCTGGACAAGCTTTATTCCAAGGAGGTTGGCCCCTAAAGCTGAGAGTGTGTGACTTGCTCAAGATCACCCAGTGTGTAAGACATTTACAACCACGTCCCCCTTTTTTTGGTTTTTAAGTCTAAAGTTCAAACTTTAGCTGTTGGGGCAAAAAACAATTCCTCTTGTCTATTCTAAGTACAATAACCACTTCCAGTCGTAAGATGAGTTTACATTAACAAGATTAAAGTAGAAGTTCTGTATCAAGTGGGAAAACAATACTCTTAAGTCTCTGATCCCCTTTTCTTTCTCCCCCATGTTTAACTAGATGGAACTGAGTATGGGCTCAGTGATGCAGACATGGAAGCTTCATATGCAACCGTGAAGAGCATGGCAGAGCAAATCGATGCAGATGTGATCCTCTTACGAGAACACCAAGAGGCGGGAGGCAAAGTGCGCGACTATTTGGTTCGGAAACGTGTGGGTGACAATGATTTCTTGGAGGTCAGGTGAGGAAATAGGTGGAGAGATAATTAGTTGGCAGGCTTCTCTTGCAGCATAATAGAAAGCTGGTTACTCTGGTTTGACTGTGGAAGTGACTCGATTTTTCTTTGCTAATTAAAATTTCTCTTTCTGTTGTATGTTATGTGTACAGACTGCTGGAAGTTAGGATCTTGAAGACATGCTTGATAAAGCCATGTTTGCATAGGAGGCTTTTATTCTATTTTTTTCTATGGTTTTATTCTATGGTTTTATTCTATTTTCCCCCCACTGGGCACAACACTTTTCAAGCCATGTCCTTATGTCTATCAGTCACCAGATTTATTTTAGTTTTGCCTTTGTAGATTAAAAAACATCTTGTGTAAAGTTGATAGTGGAACGGATGGTATAGACTGGTTCATGGAAATGGCATTTGGTTTCTAGGGTAGTACATAGATTAACTTTTATTTCTTGTGGCAATTAAAATATTATCCTCAGAAGATTAAAACAGTATATTGTGACTGGACAAATTACCTGGAATTAATCAAACTGAACAGTTGAGGGGTTGTTGTCTTTGATTTTCACCTTTTCCTAATCCTTATCCTTTCCTGAAATTTTAACTGGATGCTTAAAAACTGGAAATATTCTTCCAGGTTTGCTTTGTAAAACTTTGTGAGTATCAAACTGAAAAAGTGTCATTGTTGTCAATGGTACAAAAACCAAAGAAGAGGCCAAATGGTACTCAAGAATTCTCTCTAGCTTAGAGCTCGTTCACAGGCAATATCTTGTCAGTACAGGAATGTAAGTGAGGCTTACAAGCATGTAGCACTGTTTCTGAATAGAGTTCAGAAGACTGTTTTCTAGCCTTTTGTGCCTTCTGCAAAATTTCACTCCAACAGCTATCAATCCCACTGGAGCATTGCAGCACACCCAAATATCTGGGAGTCACTCTGGACTGTGCTCTTACCTACAAGAAGCACTGCCTGAACATCAAGCAAAAAGTGGGTGCTAGAAACAATATCATACGAAAGCTGACTGGCACAACCTGGGGATCACAGCCAGACACAGTGAAGACATCTGCCCTTGTGCTGTGCTACTCCGCTGCTGAGTACGCATGCCCAGTGTGGAACACATCTCACCACACTAAAACAGTGGATGTAGCTCTTAATGAGACATGCCGCATTATCACGGGGTGTCTGCGCCCTACACCACTGGAGAAATTACACTGCTTAGCCGGTATTGCACCACCTGACATCCGCCGGGAAGTAGCAGCCAATAGTGAAACGACCAAGGCAGAGACATCTCCAGCTCATACCCTGTTTGGATATCAGCCAGCACGCCAGCGACTTAAATCTTGAAATAGTTTCCTAAGATCTACAAAGACACTCTCTGGAACACCTCAGCAAGTGAGAGTCCAAAAGTGGCAGGCTCAAACCCAGAACCTCAATCCATGGCTGATACCAAATGAGAAACTCCTTCCTGGGCACACAGAAAACTGGGGAACTTGGAAGGCACTGAACAGATTGCGCTCTGGCACCACGAGATGCAGAGCCAACCTCAAGAAATGGGGCTACAAAGTGGAATCCATGACATGCGAGTGTGGAAAAGAGCAAACCACTGACCACCTGCTGCAATGCAACCTGAGCCCTGCTACATGCACAATGGAGGACCTCCTTGCAGCAACACCAGAAGCACTCCAAGTGGCCAGCTACTGGTCAAAGGACATTTAATCAACTACCAAACTCACAGAATTTGTATTTTGTCTGTTTGTTGCTTTGTTCTGTTAGAAATGTAATATAATTGACTGGTTGCCCTGACACGACAAAAAAAAATAGCGACTGCTTATTAATGGGAAGGTTAGAGAGGCAGTTCTGATGTTTAAGGTGCAGCTGGTTTGGACTCTGAGGGGAAGGAAAAAGAGGGTGTACTCCTGTGAGCACACCCTTTTTTCTTCCACCTGCAGCATCATCGTTCAAACTCTACAGAGTTTGCACAAGATGGTAAGACTTAAATATATTTGTATTACCACTGAGGGTAATACAACAGAAGTTCAATGTGTTGTCAAATGCTTCCATGGCCAGAATTCACTGGGTTGCTGTGAGTTTTTCAGGATGTATGGCCATGTTCCAGAAGCAATCTCTCCTGACATTTCACCCACATCTATGGCAGGCATCCCCAGATGTTGAGCGGTCTGTGGGAAACTAAGCAAGTGAGGTTTATATATCTGTGGAATGCCCAGGATGGGAGAAAGAACTCTTGTCTGCTTGAGGATAGTATGAATGTTGCAATTGGCCACATTGATTAGCATTTAATGGCATCGCAGCTTCAAAGTCTGGCTGCTTCCTGCCTGGGGGAATCCTTTGTTTGGAGGTGTTAGCTAAACCTGATTGATTCTTGTCTGGAATTCCCTTGCTTTTTGAGTATTGCTCTTTATTTACTGTCCTGTTTAAAACTGGTAGCCAGATTTTGTTCATTTTCATGGTTTTCTCCTTTCTGTTGAAATTGTCCACTTGCTTGTGGATTTCAATGGCTCCTCTGACATGGCGGTTGTTAGCGTGGTCCAGCATTTCTGTGTTCTCAAATAATATGTTGTATCCAGATTGGTTCATCAGGTGCTCTGCTATGGCTGACTTTTCAGGTTGAATTAGTCTGCATGCCTTTCATGTTCCTTGATTTGCATTTGAATGCTGTGTTTGGTGGTCCCTATGTAGACTTGTCCACAGCTGCATGGGATATGGTAGACTCCTGCAAAAATGGTTATCTTAAAGATAACCCATTATACAGAACTTTGGCTATGAACATGGATATTAGGAGATGCAATGTTGGTATTAATAGTAATGATACTATCCTATACAACTTAGATTTTTGTTCAGATCACAGCTAGACTCTAAACAGTTTATTCAGTTGTCTCTTTCAGAGCATTAGCATCCTATTATTCCTCCAATTTGATAATAGATACTTACGAAGTGATTGTTTAACTATAAACTCTTATATCTTGTATATGCTAAAGAGTTTCCTCTTATTTGGGACTTAGAAATGGCCTGAGTCATTTTGTTGCAAAGTAAGCTAAGCCAGATGAGTTCTTTTTTCATCTGCCTCCATGCCTGGCACTAAAAATATAATAAAAGCAAATTGAATAACTAACAATATCCTCTCTTTTTACATCAGCTCAACTCTGTTGCTCAAAGCACCTGTCTCACGCTATCTAATAACAGGGCCAGCCCTGAGGGGGCTGTTCGAAAGGCTTAAGTGCACAAATATAGATTATTTTGTCTGCTTTTCTTACAGGGTAGCAGTGGTTGGCAACGTGGATGCTGGGAAGAGCACTCTGCTGGGCGTCCTCACCCATGGTGAGCTGGACAATGGGCGTGGTTTTGCTCGCCAGAAGCTTTTTCGCCACAAGCATGAGATTGAATCGGGGCGCACCAGCAGCGTGGGCAATGACATCTTGGGTTTCGACAGCGAGGGCAATGTTGTGAACAAGCCTGACAGCCACGGTGGAAGTTTGGAATGGACTAAGATTTGTGAGAAATCCACAAAGGTCATTACTTTCATTGACCTGGCTGGGCATGAGAAGTACCTGAAGACTACTGTCTTTGGCATGACTGGGCATCTACCTGATTTCTGCATGTTAATGGTAAGCTGTCACTGTAACAATGGCTATTTAGCTCCAGCATCTGTCATATTGTAATGTTATGGTATTGGTGAAAACAATAGATGCTTAAATTCCCACTATCAGACGAGATTCAGGAAATCAGAAGTTAATATGTGTAATGTAATGGGTAATTTCACAGTACAAAAAAGTTGAATGGCTTCAGGGATGCCAATATGGTTTGTTTTGATTCCTCCTTAGTGTAGCACTGTATTTCAGACTTTGCTATAGATAGAACTGTGTCCTCCATTCACACTTCATACTATGTCCTCCATTCATACTTTGAATGTTCTGGGAAGACAGCTCATGAAAATGTTCCCTTCAACAAGCTAATTGTCTCCCAATCCCACTTCCTTTGCTGTAGGTGTTGTTTGGTCCTGAGCCAGTGGTTGTCTCTCCATATCTATTTTTACCACCCCTTTCCTCATGTTTTGTCTTGTTGTAGGTGGGCAGCAATGCTGGGATTGTTGGGATGACCAAGGAACACTTGGGTCTGGCATTGGCACTCAATGTCCCAGTCTTTGTGGTAGTGACCAAGATTGACATGTGTCCTGCCAATATTCTCCAAGGTAAGTGGATGTAAACACAAACATATTCTTTTTACTAAGAAGTATTTGCCATCTTCTTTCTTGGTGACTGCTTGCAGATAAACTAGATTAATTTTAAAATATTTTTTTTTCTTTCCAGTCATTGTCAATTTCTGATTTGTATTTTTTGACATTGCATTTTATGTTGTTGTTTATTTGTTCAGTCACTTCCGACTCTTCATGACCAGCCCACGCCAGAGCATTTTATAACCCTATGCTATTTGTTGCTTTTTAATTACAGAGTTTCCCTTCTTTAACATTTGACAGTTTGATCTCTATAGTCATCTTAGATTAGCTGTGGTTTTCAAAACCATTTCTTTTGATATGGTGAAAAGGCTGAGGAACCACCTTTTGATTAGGTTGCTGTGAGTTTTCCGGGCTGTATGGCCATATTCCAGAACCCTTCTTTCCTGACGTTTCACTTGCACCTATGGCAGGCATCCTCTGAGGTTGTGAGGTCTGATGGAAATTAGGCAAGTGGGGTTTATATATCTGTGGAATGTCCAGGGTGGGAAAAAGAACTCTCGTCTGCTTGAGGCAAGCGTAAATGTTGCAACTGCCCATCTTTTTTTTCCAATAATCTTTATTGATTTTCAACACAGGTTTACAATTAAAAACTACATTGAGAGAGAAAAGACAATTAAAAAGAGAGAGAGAAAAAAACAAGCTAAAGAAAAATGTTGCAACTGCCCATCTTGATTAGCATTGCATAACTTTTCAGCTTCAAGGTCTGGCTGCTTACCACATGGGGGAATCCTTTGATGGCTTTTATTTATTTATTTATTTACTATATTTATATACCATCCCTCTTAACCCGCAGGCGACTTTGGTGGTTCACAATTGGTGCCAAGACCATAAAATACAATTTTAATACAATAAAAAAATCAGATAATAAAACCATAACAAAATCAATAAAAACATCAACATTAGATCTCCTATTAAAAACATTGTCCAATCACATCATTCAACCATTCCATTTTTCTATGTCTATTACACTGTATTTGGAAATGCCTGCTCAAAGAGCCAAGTCTTGACTCTCTTTCGAAAGGGAGGGGGCCATAAGTAGATTTCCAAGAAAACTTAGCAACTACCATGTCAGACTACACAAAGAAGCCACTGAAATCCACAAGCATGTGGACAATTTTAACAGAAAGGAGGAAACAATTAAAATGAACAAAATCTGGCTACCAGTTTTAAAAACCTCTAAAATCAAGACAGTAAATAAGGAGCAGCACTCAAAAATCAGGGGAATTCCAGACAGGAAACAATTAGGGCCAGCTAACACCTTCCAACAAAGGACCCCCAGGCAGGAAGCAGCCAGGCTTTGAAGCTGCAATACCATTAAATGCTAAGCAACATTCAAATTTGTCTCCAACAGACAAGAGTTCTTTCTCCCACCCTGGACATTCCACAGATCTATAAACGTAACTTACCTAGCTTCCAACAGACCTCATGTCTGAGGATGCCTACCATAGATGTGGGCAAAACTTCAGGAGAGAATGCTTCTGGAACATGGCCATATAGCCTGGAAAACTCACATCAACCCAATGTCTAAAATCTTCAGTGCCTGATTATTGTGTCCACGATGGACTCTTTTCTGTTTTCTGTAATGTTTTTCTGTTCAGCATTGACGCTGAAGTTGCCTTGGCAGAGCATGTTTTCTGTATGATTAGTGGCTTTATGGTAATATTGGTTAGAATTCTATTGGTATGCTGTGGTAGTGGTTCTCCAGTGCCATTGCACCATCCTTGCTATCCCAAAGTTGTTTTAAAAATTTAAAAACACTTCACGATGAAACAGAACACAAGGAAAGAGGAGAAGCTTGGCTGGGCCAGCATAAAAAGACTTAGAAAAAGGGAGCTTCTTTGTCAAAGGATTTGTGGGTTGAGATGTGTATGTACTTGGCTCCTCCTTTTATAGGCCATCTGAAATGAAATGAATGTTCCTTGCCTATAGTAAAGGTTTTCCCCTGACATTAAGTCCAGTCGTGTCCAACTCTGGGGTGTGGTGCTCATCTCCATTTCTAAGCCGAAGAGCCAGCGTTGTCCGTAGACACCTCCAAGGTCATGTGGCCAGCATGACTGCATGGAGCGCTGTTACCTTCCCGTCAGAGTGGTACCTATTGATCTACTCACATTTGCATGTTTTCGAACTGCTAGGTTGGCAGAAGCTGGGGCTGACGGGAAGTTTACGCCGCTCCCTGGATTCGAACCTTCGACCTTTCAGTCACCAAGTTTAGCAGCTCAGTGGTTTAACCCACTGCGCCACCGGGGGCTCCTTCCTTGCCTATATGGAATAGGAAACAAGAAGGCTAAGCCCTATTGGCTGCTGGAAATAATAGCCTGTTACTAATTAGAATTAATGCAGTTTGATACCACTTTAACTGACTCGATGCTATGTAATCCTGAGATATGTAGTCTGATGAGGTACTAGTACTCTTGGCCAGAGATGGCTGAACACCTTGTAAAACTATAACTCCCAGGATTCCATCACATTGATCTATGGCAGTTAAAGTGGTATCAGACTGCATTAATTTTACAGTGCAAGTGCCCCATAGGTCTTCTGACACAGTGACTGTTGGTCCTTTGAGTTAATGTGATGCATAAGACAGCCAAGGATCATCTCAAGTGTATAATTAGCGCACTGGTAGAAAGCAGAGATGTGATGAGGAGGCTGTCCTGGCACTCAGTGTTCTTCAGAGCTGCTGACTCTAGTAAAATATGTTGATGGTGTTATATCTGGACTGCCCTTAGCAGCTGTTTTTTTCAAATGCATCTTATGCTTTTCACTCCTAATCATGATAATTAGGATTCATGGAGAAATGATTTTGCTCTGGCAAATACAATTTATTATTTTTGCCGGGAGATGTTTTTAAACCAAGGCGTTAGATTAAATTGGACATCTCTTTTCAAAGTTGTTAGAACAGGGGTCCTCAAACTTTTAAACAGAGGGCCAGCTCACCGTCTCTCAAACTGTTGAAGGGCCAGATTATAATTGGAAAAAAACATGAATGAATTCCTATGCACTCTGCACATATCTTATTTGTAGTGCAAAAACCACTTAAAAACAATACATTAAAATGAAGAACAATTTTAACAAATATAAATTTATTAGTATTTCAATGGAAAGTGTGGGCTTGCTTTTGGCTGATGAGATAGGATTGTTGTTGTTGTGTGCTTTCAAGTTGTTACAAACTTAGGTTGACCCTGAGCGAGGGCCGGGTAAATGACCTTGGAGGCCGCATCCAGCCCCTGGGCCATAGTTTGAGGACCCCTGTGTTAGAACATTGCCAATTTTGTCAGCCGAAAAATGAAGCCACCCACTCCGAGGGCCCTTCTACACTGCCATATAACATCCAGATTCTCTGCTTTGAACTGGATCACATGGCAGTGTAGACTCATATAATCCAATTCAAAGCAGATAATGTGAATTATCTGATTTGACAATCTTGATTATATGGCAATGAAGAAGGGGCCTGAGGCAAAAGCTATATCCACAGCCATAGCAGAGCACCCGATGAACCAGCCTGGACACAGCATTTTATTTGAGAACACAAAAATGCTGGACCACTCTCACAACTACCATGTCAGACTACACAGAGAAGCCATTGAAATACACAAACATGTGGACAATTTCAACAGAAAGGAGGAAACCATGAAAATGAACAAGATCTGGCTACCAGTATTAAAAAATTTAAAATTGCAACAGCAAAAACAGCAGAGAGGAAACAGACAGGGACATCTAATTACCTTTCAAGAAGAGTTTGCTCCAGGCACAGTCAGCCCATTGTATGCTAATCAAGGTGGTCAGTTGAAATATTCACACCTAGCCCAACTGACAAAAGTCCTTTGTCTCACCCTGGTCATTTCACAAATATATAAACCCCTTTCCCAGTCCCAACAGACCTCACCTCTGAGGATGCTTGCCATAGATGCAGGCGAAACGTCAGGAGAAATGCCTCTAGAACATGGCCATATAGCCCAAAAAACCCCACAAGAACCTAGTATATCCACAGCTATTTATCTCTCTGGCGAAAATGGTGTCTTGCTGATTGTAACTTTGGATGTTGTGGCCTGCTTGCTCCCAATCATTCCTCAAAACTGGATGTTGGTGGTGAGACTCTCTGTCCTTGTCCCTTTGCTATTGGAGCAGGATATTGAGGAATTGGAGTGAGTTTTCCAAAAGACTGTCAGAAGTATGCACAGATACAAAGTAAACTTTTAGGAAAAAAACCATTACTGTCTCCTTTGGAAAGGGTAATCAGAAATATACTACTGCTTGGTTGTTTCCAGTTACTTTTTGTAGGGCTTTTAAGGGTGTTTATTTTCAGTGATAGTGGAGTGGGGTTTTTTTTAGGACTATCTCAGCATCCATTCTTGTTAACATGTATGCTGCAGAACAGAACCAGCTAATATAGCAGATGGCCAAAGAAGCTGGAAGTTCTAATACAGGGGTCCTCAAACTTTTTAAACAGAGGGCCAGGTCATAGTCCCTCAAACTGTTGAAGGGCCGGATTATAATTTGAAAAAAACCCCATGAATGAATTCCTATGCACACTGCACATATCTTATTTGCAGTGCAAAAAACACTTAAAACAATACAATAATTAAAATGAAGAACAATTTAAAAATATAAACTTATTAGTATTTCAATGGGAAGTGTGAGCCTACTTTTGGCTGATGAAATAGGATTGTTGTTCTTGTGTGCTTTCAAGTCATTTCAGACTTAGGTTGACCCTGAGCAAGGGCCGGGTAAGTGATCTTGGAGGGCCACATCTGGCCCCCAGGCCTTAGTTTGAGGACCCCTGTTCTAATACTACATCTGGTGGATCACAGGTATATACACACTCTACATCTTTGCAGACTGTTTGGAAGCTCCAGTTGGTTCAATGGATGGCAGCCAGACTGCTCGCCGGAACGGAGTACAGGGAGCACACAACCTCCCTGTTACGCCAGCTCCACTGGCTGCCAGTCTGCGACCAAGCAGAATTCAAAATGCTGCCTTTAGCCTATAAAGTCCTAAATGGTTTCGGCCCAGCTTACCTATCTGAACGTATCTCCATGTATGAACCATCTCTGAGATTAATATCGTCTGGGGAGGCACTACTTTCGATTCCACCTCCCTTGCAACTTCGATTGGTGGTGACGAGAGACAGGGCCTTCTCACTGGTAGCTCCTCAGCTATGGAACTCCCTCCCTCCCTCCTGACCTTGAAAAAATAAGTATAAACCTGGATATGGGACCAAGCATTTGGGCAGTAAACAATACAAGGAAAAATCAGGATCATGTGCAATAGATATTGATATTTGGAATGGCCCTGGACTAGAATTGTTGGATTGTGTTATTTTAACATTTATATTAAGATGTTTTTAACTCCACGTTTCACTGTTTAAATGTAATTGCGTTTTTATGATTTAATTGATAGCGGTATGTTATTGTTTTTATGTTAGGTTTTTGTGTATGTGAGGCACTGAATTTTTCTGTATATATGTTGGAAACCGTTTTGAACCCCCCCCCCCCCCGATGAGAAAAACGATATACAAATGAAGTAAATAATAAAATAATAATAAATAATACAGTGACATTGAAAACACATCTGTTCTGCCATTTCTTCATAACTCCTGAGTTATTTCTATAACAGTAGCTGATACAGATTTGAAGCTTAGCTCGCTCGCATGCAGTTACTAATTGTTTGATGTTAAGTATAGCTTTTCTTTATTTGATTTAAAAAGAAACCCTGAAGCTGTTGCAGCGACTTCTGAAGTCCCCAGGATGCCGGAAGATCCCTGTGCTGGTCCAGAGCAAGGATGATGTCATTGTGACTGCGTCCAACTTCAGCTCAGAAAGGTGACAGATGAGAAGCACATAAAGAGGCCACAGTAGCAAGATGAACTACTTCTACAGCAGGGGTGGGCAAAGTGAGCCTTTTGAAATCTTGTTGGATTTCAGCTCCCAGTGCTCTTCATTATTGGCTGGAGCTGATGGGAGTTGCAGTCTGCTGGAGGGTCCCACGTTGTCAGCTTTGACAGGTTAAGTAGTAGAGATTCTGAATGTCTTGTGTAGGAAAAGTCGAGGCAGGCATTTATGATCGCAGCAGTGCCCTCCATGTGGACACTACACCACACAGGAAGTGATATCACTTCTGGTTTTGTTTTCAAGCAATTTTAGCTGTTTGAGGGGGTTGTGAGGGTAAACATTTTGAAAGACTGGGGCTGAAAGACAAAACAACTATGCTTGCTGGTGATTTTGAGCTGAATTGGGTTTATTTAGGAAATACTTAAACCACTTTTAGGAATAATTTTAGGAATCTAGGGGCTTTGGGAACCTTCAGCAGGGTTTCCGTGAACTGACCACCAATATGCACTTTTGTTAGTTCAAGATAGAATAGACCCATTTAATCGACTGAATGAGAAAATTTCGGAAAACGGAAATCTCCTTAACTTTTTGGAGATTTTAGGATATTTGGAAAGGCATGGCCTTGTTAAAATTCATAACCTTTTGAAAAACGATGCCATAACCTTTTGGTAAAAGCATGACCTGTTAAGAGTCATAACCTTTTGGGAAAATAGCATTCATGCAAGGCAGTCAGGTTTCTCAGCTAGCTGTTAAACTGATATCCCAAATATCTCTTTGAACTGTTAAGGACAAAGATATGCCAATGGATAAACATACATATATTCAGCAGAGTTTCAGAAGTGTTGTTTTTACTTGCCCCAAAACACCGACTCTCCCTTAAAATATATTTGCCTTTAAATCATGCTCTCAAGAGATAAAAATAAGCAGACTTATTTAAAAGTGACAGAGTTGGGTTACTCACAAACTTCATGTATTCAGCATACAGGTACTTTGCTTATCAATCTAGTTACAAATTGAATTTGAAGTAGTTTCTCTGTGTAGGTAACACGGGGCATCTTCCTCATAATCAACAATCCAAAGTCCAAAAGCATCTCTCTGTTTCGAGAGTCTAATAGTCTGTCTAGTCTAAAAGTCCAGTGGAGTCTAAGCATACTGTTCCTATTGAAGTCTCTAAACATACAGTTCCTACTGTCTTCTTAAAAGCATACTGTTCCTGCTAGCGTCTGAAAGCATACAGTTTCTATGTTGAAGTCTGTTTCTAAAATGGATGCTGAACCCTGAACAAACCCAGACCTCATCACATGGTCTGCAGCCCTTCCCACAACAGAGTTATGGGCAAATTGCATACCAATATACACAAATGAAATACAGTAAGGAATCTGAATTACATACAAACAAATAACTAGTGGAGGTTTGAGAAGGTTGTTATTTCCAACAGAAATCACTTGTTGGAATTATAACTAAGATTCCAACCTTACTGTCTACAGTGGTATGACATCTAGTATGTCTTATATGGCATTTTCCTTTCACGGCATCCCAAGACATGATGTTTAAGATAGCACAGAGTCATGAATAATTTCTGTTTTTTTCACTCTCTTTTTTTCCCATTAGGATGTGTCCAATATTCCAGATTTCCAATGTCACTGGTGAGAACCTGGAATTGCTTAAGATGTTTCTCAATCTCCTGTCTCCAAGGACCAGTTACAGGGAAGAGGAACCCGCAGAATTCCAAATAGATGACACTTATTCCGTTCCAGTAAGGAGAGTGGTGCTGGGAAGGTTGCTTCTGCCGTATTTTCCAGGGTTGAGAAAGGATGGGGACTAGGATCTGCCATTCCTCTCCCAGCGTTAATAACTCAGTTCTTTTTTCACTTCTCCCTGTATATAGGGTGTTGGGACAGTGGTGTCTGGAACAACCTTAAGAGGCCTGATCAAGTTAAATGACACCCTACTCTTAGGTCCAGACCCACTGGGTAACTTCCTGCCCATTGCTGTGAAGTCCATCCACCGCAAGCGCATGCCAGTCAAAGAGGTGCGGGGAGGCCAGACTGCCTCCTTTGCTTTGAAAAAGGTAAGTGTAAACTTCACTGATACTGAGAGGTTGGAAAAGCTATTTTTTACACCACAGCTCTTATAATCTCCTGGACCATGTGGTCATATATGTGTGGGCTGACTCTGGGAGTTCTAGTCCAGAAGAAAATCTTTTGATCCCTTGTAGTATTCTTCTTGGGAAAAAAATTAAATAACTAGTACCCTAAATGTTGGTACTCAGAAGTAGGAATGGAGAGAATATTTGTAATTACAGTGGGACCTCCATATCTGTGGAGGTTTGATTCCAGGACTGCATATGGATATAAAAAAGGAAGATGATCATGCCCAATAGTATTAAATTATGTGAACATGCATGCTTTGTTATGACTAGAGGCATGGAGAAGCGAAGAGGGGACCCACCCATTCCCCAACCCCCCCCCCCCCACACACACACACACAAAAGCCCTTAATATAAGAATAAACTTACTGGGCACCATGAGACCTTTCCAGCAGGCTTCCTAGTGCGTAGAAATGATGCAGCAGTGGAGGGGGGGAGGAGTGATCCCCCCTCCCCCCCACACACACCTCCTGGTGCGTTATTTTTATGTGCCAGGAGGCCTGCCGGAGAGGCCTCATGACACCCAGTACATTTATTCTTATTTTAAGGGCTTTTTCATGGGGGTTGGGGAATGGGTGGGTGCCCTCTTCGCTTCTCCGGGCTCATGGAACTCAAAGAAGCATATTGGGCTGTGGGGKCATTCCCCAACCCCCCGGTCCCCACAGGGCTCATATTGCATTAGAACCAGGCCTTTTAGGAATGCCTGGGTCTAATGGGGTATCTATTTAATTCAGGACAAAGCAGGGTTTACCTGCTTTGTCCCAAGTTAATCCTCTTTTACCTGAAGTGTTGTTTGGATGCCTACGGTAAAAGTCTGACAGGGCCCACATTTTGGGCCCTGTCTGAAACGGTCCTTTGTTCATATTGCCACTATATAATAATATGGGGCATGGTGATCCCTGTGTGGTTTTAATCATGAATCTGGACCCTGCAGATGTGAGTATTTCAAGAATATTCCAAGGCCAAAAACAGCTTTTCCTAAACTTTTGGGAGAGTAGTAGATGAGTGGAAGTTTTGTGCATTTCCTCCTCAGTATTGAAGTACTTCTGATGTTACGATCTGGAGTTTTAGCATTCAGATATTATGATCTGCAATTCTCAGCATTTCCTGCCACTAGTGAATCAGGCTAAGGCTGCTGGGAATTGCAGTCCCAACAACATCTGGAAGTCTGGATGATTCCCCCCTTTGCTTAGAATACAATCTTATGTGCAATTTCTCAGATGTAAATTCTATGGCGCTTAGCGGGATTAGTCATATTAATAATTATAGGATTGCATTGTAGCCATAGAGGCCTTAGGTGTTTTGTATTTTGCTGGCATATGTATTTCTAGTCAACATATTCAATTAGTAAGGACCAGAGAATAAAATCTTTGAAGCACACTTCAAACTAGCTTCATGGCCAGGCTTTCTTTAAAGCTAGGAATGTTATACTGACCCAAACTGTCCTTTGAACTCTGCTTGAATGTTTTTTTCTGTTTGCCTCTCTTTGCTGCTCACTTTTGAAAAATGCCTATTCAGCACTATTGGATGACCCTCATGTTATACCTCTGGAATGACTGTCTTTTATATTTCTGATGTGGTTTTCCTTCTGTAATGTGCTGTGGAATTAAACTGATTTTTGGAATAAGCTTTTGGAGTACTTCCTAAATTTGGTTTTACATTATTCTGCTCCCAGATCAAGCGTTCCTCTATACGGAAAGGTATGGTGATGGTGTCCCCACGGTTGAATCCACAAGCATCTTGGGAATTTGAAGCAGAAATTCTAGTACTGCATCACCCGACCACCATCAGTCCTCGTTATCAGGCAATGGGTAGGTATTGCTGTTTGCTAAGGTGCTTGCATGCATCTTCTGCTTTGATCCTAAGATACTGAACCTGTTTGTGGTTAGTGATGCTTAAAAGAACTTAGTGAAAAAGCAGCCACAAATGGCAGAAAGCCCCAGTGAATGGAATCATGCCAAGGGAGTGCTTGATGTATCACTGTCAGAGCCATGCTTCAGCTGCAGGTTGAGTTGATGGCCATGGAAGAAATCATTTTTGGTCTCATTGATCAGTTCCATTGAAATTATCAATCTGGTGTCTGTGCAAGGGGAAGGGAATAAGGCTGCGGCACAGGTTACACATTGAAGACACTGGGTTATAGATATTCTTATGTCTCTGTGGTTTTGTCACTTGGGAAGTCTTCCAGTTTTTAAGATTGCCTCTGAAGTTTTAGATGATCTTTGTCTTACGAAGAAAAAAAGTAACAGAATATAGTTCAATACAGTTTACTCTAGGTTGGACTGCATAGTCCCCAGGGAGGGGAACTACTCTACCAGCACTTCCAAATATACTTCTGTGTCTCCAAAAAGCCATATTTTGTATTGTCGAAGACTTCAGGGATGGAATCACTGGGTTGTTGTAGGTTTTTCGGGCTATATGGCCATGTTCTAGAGGCATTCTCTCCTGATGTTTTGCCTGCATCTATGGCAAGCATCCTCAGATGTAGCGACCTCACCACCTCTAAGGATGCTTGCCATAGATGCAGGTGAAATGTCAGGAGAGAATGCCTCTAAAACATGGCCATATAGCCCGAAAAACCTACAACAACCTAGCCATATTTTGTCTTCAAAACAAGGCACATGGGAAGTCTGCATTTAGTTTTCAGGCTGAGTCTGTGAGGCATCACGGCATACTGTGAAAACTTGCTGCTTGCTTCCTGCATGCTTCTTTTTAAATGTGGGAGGGTTTTTTTTAATTTTTACAATTGCCAGAATCATGGTAGCAGAGTTACAGATTCAGGAGGAGGTGCAAAAATGGGTGGACTTGACATCTGCAGACTGTGGATTGCCTCCCGTTTCCCAAGTTACAGTAACAGAGTGCAAAATTTTGGGACGAGTGGGCTTATTAACAAAAGACCCCCCTCATAAATGTACAGCGGAGTAACTTATTAGCAGCAGTGTGCCCCAGCACCAGTAGCCCAAAGTGATAAAGAGAACAAAAACACGGAGACCAATGTTATTTCTTCCATAGAAGGCTTTTCTTTATAGAAAAATAATATGGTTGCACTATTTACATAACACAAATAAATACATAGTAGCTTTACACACAGCAGCCTTCACACTGGAGCTTTCTCACACAAGGCTTCTCTCACACTGAGGTTTACTTCACACTCCTCAGGATGATATTAGCTTCAGCTCACTAACTCTAACAAGCTTCGGGCTATTCACTCTCCTCAGGAGGACACTAGCTGTGGCCCACTGTCTCTAATAGGCTTCGACCTATTAACTACTTCAGTGCTTGACTCACACTTCTGTAATAAAAAATACCCAGTTAAGTTTTAATATTTCTGACAAAATTAAGACTCATGATCATGGAAACAAACTCGAAAGACCATAATGGCTTGGCATAATCTATGCAGTTGAGATTTATTCCTTCATAGCTTCTAAGTTACCTGTGAAAATCTTACTGTTCACAGTGCATTGTGGCAGCATCCGCCAAACAGCCACTATTCTCAGCATGGACAAAGACTGTTTACGAACAGGAGACAAGGCTACCGTTCACTTCCGTTTCATCAAGACCCCGGAGTACTTGCACATAGACCAGCGGCTGGTTTTCCGTGAGGGGCGGACCAAAGCTGTGGGCACTATCACCAAGGTGGGGGAAGGCTTTGGGATAAGACAGTGTGGGGTTTCTCAAAGGGGAGTTTCTCAGGGCGATGCAAACATGTTTCTTCCTCCCTTTTCCTGATTTGTGTACAATGTTCTTTGAAATCACTCAATTGTGCTTCCTGGAAGGGTCTGTTGATCCTTGATGTAACACTGCTGGTTTTGGTGGGCTTTGTGGGGCCCTTTGCACTTTATATTTCTGCTTTACAATGAAATTAAACTCCCATCTTAAGTTTCTTTCACACTACAGTTAAAGCACTTTGATACCACTTTTTCTGCTGTGACCGAATCCTGTGGAATTTTGGGATTTGTTGTTTGGTGGGATGCTAAATACATGATGGTACGTGAAATTCCAAGATTTCATAGGATGGAGTCATGAGAGTTAAGTGATATCAAGCTACTATAATGGTGTAATTTGACAGAAATATTTTTCTTTTCTATATATTCAAATCAAGAATGAATAGCCTGATGGGTTTTGTGGCTCCCCTGACCCTATCACTTACCAGTCAGCATTCTCCCAGTGTAGGGACTTAAGGTGACTCTGTTTTGCATGAGATTGTACTTCCAATTCCTTATAAAAGTGACTGGAAGCTGACTTCTGCTTTTGCTCAAGGAATTTGAGTTGGGGTTTAAACAAGGTACAGGGGCCTATCCTTATTTTGCCAGAGAATCGTGCTCCCTGAAGTCTTACAGAGGTACAATCTTTTGCCTTTGTGGAAATGGGTTGTGTAGGCAGTCTCTAGGGTCTAAGCAAAAGGCCCTCGCTGGCCATATATTTCCACCTTTGTTTAAAACCCTGCTTCGTCAGTTCTTTGCTTTATAGCAGGCATCACCATGCACGCAAAACCCCAGATCTGTTTACCTTGCTTCATCTCTTTCTGTCTGGCAGTTACTCCAGACCACAAATAACTCTCCAATGAACTCCAAGCCCCAGCAGATCAAGATGCAGTCGACAAAAAAAGGCCCCCTGACCAAGCGAGAGGAAGGGGGAGCCCAGGCGGGAATGGCAGCAGCGGGTCCCGCAGTGGCAGAAGAAGCCACTTCGGTGGCAGCAGTCCCATCAGCGCCAACGAGTGCCCAGCAACCCCAGGTATGCACAATGGCTTGTTCAGTACCTATTGCCCATTTCAAAGTGTTATCTTACCTTGCTGTCAAGCTTTCCATAGTAAAATGCTAGTCATGAAGAGGAGCCTTCCCTCCCCCCCCCCCTCTGCCAAAACTTGTGCAGGAATATTGGTGGCTGGTGTTCAGGTAAACAGAATTAAAATGGGTGCATTTGAGGCCCATTCATATTGTGTGTTCTGTTTTTGCAGTCTTGGACTGGAATAAATTTGTAGCAAAATTTTCTCCAAAAACAAAGGTACTTGCCATGTTGTGGTGTGTAAAAAAAGAAATTTCCATATTAATGGGAAACTGATAGAATTCTTTTATAAATTCTCACCAAAATTAGAAATTCTCCAGATTTAGTTCAAGGACAGAATCATAGAATCATAGAATCAAATGTTTTTTTTAAAAAAATCTTGCCACCTCTTCATATGTCAAGGACAAAATCATAGAATCATAGAATCAAATGTTTTTTTAAAAAATCTTGCCACCTCTTCTGCGGAGCGGCTCGTGACGCCCTGCACACCCTCCCTCCTCCCCTCAGCACCTGGTAGGAACGGGACAAGGGTGAATTGGCACCCTTTCCTTCTCCCCATCAGATGGCAGAAAGGGTAGCAGTACGTGTTGTCCTGCCACCCTTTCTTCTATAACATAGCAAAAGGAAGGGAAGTGTGGGGTAGCTCCTTTGGAACTATCCAAACAACACTTTCCTCCCACTCAGCGGTGGAGGAAGAGCCTTTCAGCGCTTCCACCCCACTTTGGGAGGAATGTGGGTGGGGCCTGCCATGTGTTGTGAGATGGTGCATGTAAGGCCTCTTCCAAGCCGCTGCTAAAAGTGGCAAAATGGGGCAAAATGTCCTGAGTGAAGAGGTCTCTACTCTAATCTGAAAAGGGTTTTAAATGTATTGAGTTTCAGAGCTTGAAATATCTGCCTTTCCTGTATGAGCCTTACAGCTTTATTGCAAATTGTGGATTGCAATTTGTGTCCTTTTGATGTGTGAAATAAGGACATCCTCAGCAAGGAGAAGGACCTTTTATGTGTTGGCCAGAAAGATGGAACATGAACTCTGTCTGGAGTCGGCATTGCTTTCTGAAGGCAGGAGTAGAATATACTTATTCAAGAGGATATCAAGTCTTATTGATCTTTTTAATGGAAGAAATATCACTTCTTGTTAATCTTCTAGGATGTTGTTGTTTTTTATTTACTTGATTTTTTAAAAGGAGGATGGGTCTTAAACATGTGGTGATTGTAAGCCACTTCCAAGGTTGTAATTGAAATGCATTTCAAGCTTCTGCTAAACTGGTAATTGCTTGACTGGGACAGCAAAGAAGCAGGCTTGTCTCTAAGTTATACAAGTTGTGCTTTATAGTTGGGTTGCCAAGAGTCTGAAAAAGCTCTCTTAGTTTGTGTCTTTGTGTTACAACGAGTCTTCTGTTGCTTTGCTATCCTCCCCTTCTTGGAGTGGTGTGCATGTGTGTGTGTATAAGCCTCTGTGTACAATTCTTGTGTCTTTTCCTCCTCTCTTACTGTTGTGGAGTATTTTGGACTGTGATCCTAATAAACCCTTTGCAATAAGTCACACTGAAATCAATGGGCCTTGACTCTGAACAGTCATGCAGAGGAGTTCCCAGGCAAGGAACTTCTTTTTCTCACTGTTGCTCTTTCTGCTCATCTCTGCTTCTGTCTTTCTAACACTTTCCTTCAGCCTGCACTGGATGAGGAGCCTCACAACCGGGAAGGCAATAAGGTATTTCTGTATTCTCTTGCTGCTTTGGCTCATTTGTCTTAGGGAACAAAGGCCATCCTGGCTGCATCATTTTCTTTCCTTCCTCTTCCTTCCTCGTCCTTTCAAACTCTTTAATTTGTTATAATAGAAGCTTGACCTTTTGCTGATAGACTTGAAAGGAGGAAGGTCTCTTCCTTTCTCTCCCTTTCTGATAAATGTAGTTGGGGGGGCCACACTTGGGTCACCAAAGGTCCCCCCCCCCCTTTCCTTCCTGTGGGGCTTACACACAAGAACAGAAACATGCACCCTCAAGCCTAGGAGTATTTACGGATGAGTTTCCATGACATCTTTTTCTTACCAGGTAATTCATGCTAGAACCTTGGTATTATATCTGCTTTCCACATGGTGGGAAATCATGTTAAAATAATACAGCAAGTCCCTGTAACTGTGGAACCCATATCTGTGGTTTCACTTACCTCTGCCTGGGTAAGAATAGTCTCTCTAGAAATTTGTTAGGTCCTCCAGGCAATTCTATGATGTTTCCCCTAAATGTTATCTCCAATGCAACTCAATTGTCTGCTTGAATTGGAAGTTAGGTAATGTCATTGTGTTCAGTTATATTCAAGGTTTCATAACCATGATCCAGTCAGGAATATATCCTTACAAGGGTTGCACTGTACAATATTTTATCTGCAGAATGACAGAATAATAAATGTGTTGGAGTAGCCTATTCTGTTTCAGGCTACTAAGGCAATGAAATAATTAAAATGCCCAGTAAAAAAAGCAAAATGAAAGTTCAAACAAACCATGGTAGTAGTAATATCAATAACATTTAAAGTGTTTCCCCACTTTTCATGCCTGTTTAGTTTGTTTATCTGTTTTTCTTTTGAATTTAGTTTTTCTCTTTCATTGGGTTCAGATTTTATTGCTGTAGACAGTGTTGAGAAGTTTTTTCTTTGTAGAGACTAAAGGAAGTGCAATCAGCCTTCTGCTTTTGTGAATTTAACTTTTGCGAATTTGTCTATGTGTAGATTTGTTTAATGTAATCCCTCTCTAAGAGTCCTTAGGTTCTCCAGTGGAAGACCATAGTGTCACACTGGAGAACGTCAAGATTCCTAGTTCTCTCAGGTAAACAAATCAGCTGAATCCAGCACCACCTCCAAGACACCGAAGTTGGGAAAATGCCAACATATACCTCTATCTGTTGTCTGTCCTTTCTGTTTAGTGGCATTGAATGTTTGGCGTGTATGTGTTCCATTTTTTTATCGTGTCAGGGGAAGACCAAACAGTTGCATTGCATTTTTTAACAAACAAACAAACCAAACACAAAGTTTGCAAGCTTGGTAGTTGATTAAATGTCCTTTGACCAGTAGCTGGCCACTTGGAGTCCCTCTAGGGTTACTATAAGAAGGTCCTCCATTGTGCAGGTGGCAGGGCTCAGGTTGCATTGCAGCAGGTGGTCTGTGGTTTGCTCTTCTCCACACTCGCAGGTCGTGGATTCCACTTTGTAGCCCCATTTCTTAAGGTTGGCTTTGCATCTCGTGGTGCCAGAGCGTAGTCTGTTCAGTGCCTTCCAAGTCGCCCAGTTTTCTGTGTGCCCAGGAAGGAGTCTCTCATGTGTGTTCCATGATACACCCTGAATCCACTTTGGGGTGAGAAGGGTGGAATATAAATGTTGTGCATAAATAAATAAATAGCTTAAACATTAAATAATACAAGACGAATCCGAAGAAACAAGAATAATAACCAGAAGAAACGAAACAGGATTGAAAGAGGAAAAAAGCAGAACCCACCCAGTTAAATCCTCTTCCTTATCAAGAAAAAGCAATTGCTGAAGGTCCAGCTGAATGAAAAGATCTTCAGCTGTTCAGCTGGTTTGATTTGTCCTTTCCTTAGATTCATACTGCTCACTCCAACTCTTCTTGTTCAGTTTTAAGCAATGGGATCCAGATGCTCTCTTTTCCGCTGAACCTTTACCTGGGTTTTTCTTTTTCTTTCCTCCCCCCTCCCTCCCACCAAACAGGCCAAGGCTGGAGGAGGTGGCCGGCGACGTGGAGGCCAGCGCCATAAAGTAAAGGCCCAGGGGGCTATCATGACTCCCGCTGGTGGCTGCTGAACATCTTCTTTTCACCCCTGAGGAATTCATCCCCCTTCCTTCTGTTTCGTCAATCCAAAAAAACCCCGGAGCAGCGTAACCAAAATCCATCCCAGTTGATTGGCTGCTGTGAACCTCTCTTCTTCCCTTCCTGGAGAATGACTTGAGGGACTGGAAAAGGAGAGGGATGGGTTGTATCTTAAGCTAGTGAAGGTGACAAAGCACACGTGGGACTGACCAACTGCCACCTTCTCTTCCCTTGACCCCCAAAACATTTTGTACATCGTGAGCTCTTAGTCATGATTTTTATTAGTTTTTATTATGGTGGATGTGTGTGTGGGTGTGTGGGTGTTTGCGGGTGTGTATGCAAATGAAGACTCAGGAGAATCTAGGTATACAAAAAAACAGTAAGGTACCTGCCTCCTTCTCCTTCTTACCACACCCCATCATTTTTTAAAAACTAAGCCTGTGTCTTGTCTATGATGGATGCCTGAAATCCCAGACCTTTAAAAGTATAAGGGTGCTAGTTGGTTTTGGGATGAGTTAGTCCTTCCTCCCTTCTGGCACCAGGGCGCTTCTACATGGGTGCCAGGCCTCCCTTGTTCTAATGTAGCAATTACTGTAATAGGTTAATTGGCATGAAGGGTCTCCTCAAACCTGCAGCCCCACCCAAGTTGCATTAAAGTGAGATCCTAGATCTCCAAAATCCACTGCATGGTGGTGCCCCCCAAAACACTCCTTCCTCTTGCGGTGGCTTCTAAAAGTCCCCATTAAAGCAAAAAAGTTGATTTCACACAGTCCCTTTTCAAGCTATTGTTTCAAAACAGATGCTTTTCTTGCAAATCCAGCCAAGCAGTCTCCTTGCGCAGACTATATCTGGATTAGCAGCCCGCCACGAATGGCATCCTTTTAATGATTTACATGTACTTAAGTGTAACTTATGTGCATGTAAGTCCCTGTTTGGTTGTGGCATAGAGAGCTATACATTTGCACTTGTGCTCTGTCCAAAAATCTCCCACTATGGAGCCCCCAGGAGAGGCATCTGCAGCTGTTGCGTACCAGAAGAGAGGAAAGTTGGGAAGGAGGCAGTTCATGACCGTGAAAATCTGGGTGCTCTGAGCAGGGGAAAAGAAAGGGCAGGTGCACCCCATTGGAGAGTACAGCCGCATTTTGCCACCTCCCAACCGAGCTAAGATTAGCTGCTTCTCTGTATTCTGAATGGCCTTTCCCCTCTTCCCTCTTCCCATTGGTAAATGGCAACTGCAGGGACCCCTCCCAGGACTTGACAGGCTGTGTCAGGACACAGTACTGTATGTGCAGAATTGCCTGTAGATGTAGAATCGCAGCCTATGTCTGCAAAGCAGAGTGGGGTGTGAAGATGACGCAGTATTGTTCCTGGCTTTGAGAGACTTCCCAATTCCATACCGTGTCTTCCAAATGCTCAAGAACAAGCGCTGTCAGTGATGCCTGCTGCCTTTTTTTGAACATGTGAAAGACATGCTTGAAAACATTGCTTTAGATTAATAGCCCTTTTATACCCTGCAATTGTAGCACTATGAGTCCACTTTAATCCAATGGAATACTCAGATTTGCTTTTTAGGGAAAGATATATTGAATTATCTTCCAAAGAGCTCTACTGCTTCACTCAACTACAAACCATTGGATTCCACAGGATATAGACATAACTGTTAAAGTGGAACAGTCGTGCTGTAATTGTGGAGTGCGGAAGGGCCCTACATGTCCCAGATGTACCCTACGCCAGCATGACCACTGACAGTTTTGGGAATCTTGTCCAAAAAAGTAACATTTCCCAGCTCCGTTCCTACGTATTTGTATTTGGAGACACCACTCTCTTCACAAATCAGTGAGCATTTAGCTATAGTTTCAAAAGGCCAGGTTCCCCACCCATCTGCCCTGTTGTTTCATTCCCTGTCAAGAGTGTTACCTGTACCATGGCACGCATGGTGGGTTTGCCTGCATTTACAGAGACAGCTTGCAGTTTGCTGAACCTGGTTTTGAGCTGTGCTTTCAGATTTGGACATATGTTTGTGATTTTTATAACTTTGATAGAAAACGTTTGCTGTGTCTGTTTAAGGCACCCATTCTTTTAACTGGCATCATGTTGTTGCTTGAAAAGAAGAAGACAAGACCACAAAGTTTGTAGTTCACCGGTTTGTAACTTTAAAAAAAATCTCCTGCATTGCTGTCTCAGACTTTCTCTATCCTAGCAGAGTTTTTGGAATGAATGGGTCCCTTTAAAGTTAGTTTGAATGTTGGAAAGGAAAAAAAGTTTTATTTTATGCCAGAATTCTCCAAACTGGTACCCTCAGCTGGGTTGAAGAATGGCTGGCTCCCCATCACTTAAACCAGTGGTTCTCAACCTGGGGGCCCCAGATGTCTTTGGCCTCCAACTCCCAGAAATCCTAACAGCTGGTAAATTGGCTGGGATTTCTGGGAGTTGTAGGCCAAAAACATCTGGGGACCCCAGGCTGAGAATCACTGGCTTAAATTGACAAGATCCCTGGGATGATAGGAGCAGTTCCAACAGCAGCTAAAGGGCACCACATTGGGGAAGGCAGTTTTGCACATATCTTGGAAACCTACTTTTTTGGACTTCCAGAATCCCCCAGTCTACATAGATGCTTGTCATGATGGCTGAAGAATTCAGGGAGTTTCAACCTTAAAAGAAAATGACTGAGATTCTGCATTGTGTTCATAGATGTAGCTACAAATGACCTAAGGATTTGACCTGAAACTCTCCTGAAATGCTCCTTAAATCCCAGCAGCCGTTCCAAGTGACAGAGGTCCAATGGCGTCCTTCAGGATGTAGAGTGCTTCAGGGTTTTGCATGGGAAGAGCTGGTCATGTTGTCCTGAAGCACCCCACTCAACTGGGCTACAAACCTCTATTGCTTAGAGCTGGCCCCTTGAGTTTAAGGTGGGTTTGGGGAAGCATTTACGCCACAGTCATGAATACAAAAGATAGTGGAATATGGAGCAGTTACAGAGTCATAACTCTGGGTTATGAATTCACAGCTGCAATGCAGAATGTCAGCCAATGTTTCCAAGCTCTGGTTTGCCTTAACATCTGTTCACCATGATCTATGGCAGCTACAGTATTTATAGCACCCTCAGAGGAAAGCAGAATATGAAGTGGCTATAGCAAGATTGCAACCCATTCCATTCAATGCCACTGGTGTTATAGTGACATTAAGAAGTACATCAATCTCATTGCTCTCTGTTTCCAAGGGAATGCAAGGCCTCTGTGTGGTGTGCTTCCCATCCCTTTCTATCCTTTCATTCCTTAGTTCTGAAAGGAATGTGCAGTGCTGAAGAGTTCAATTTTAAACACTTGTTTTTTTTAAAAAAAAATCACACATTATTGTGTTTTCATTTTGTGACCAACAATAAAAGACAACTGAAGCTGGCAAGGTGTGGAAAAAAAGACAGAAAAATAAAAGAGAAAGGTTTCTTAAAAATATCAAAATCAATGCTGTGATGCTTCTCAGTTCTCCCCACTGTAAAAAAAGATGAAGCAGCGAATGTCTTTCCACTCTTGAATCCAAAAAGTGTAAAGGAGATAAGATCTAGCTCTGAAACATACTGTAAAAAGTGCCGTGGTTCTCAACCTGTGGGTCCACAGATGTTTGGGCCTTCAACTCCCAGAAATCTTACCAGCTGGTAAACTGGCTGGGATTTCTGGGAGTTGTAGGTCAAAACACCTGGGGACCCACAGGTTGAGAACCACTGTGTAAATAAGTGGGTCCTTGTCAAATTGCTATTTATTTACATCTGCTCTTTTACACAAGAATTCTTTTTGTCTCCTGTATTTGGCCAAGCTGCGTATCAACTCCTTCACTTATGGAAAGTAGGGAATTCTGAAAAATGGTCTTAGGGTGCTTCCAGACTGTCAAAATGCAGGTTTAAAAGTGGGGCAAAAAACCATGGGACCTGACAGCAAGCCCACACACAAGACTAGTCAGTCCCAGGAAATGTTTCCCCACCATCCTCACGTCTTTAAAGCAGAAATTACAAGTCCACAAGATTGGGAGGGGGGTGGGTGGGACATCTGGCGGTGGTTTGGTTTCTTTTTTAAAAATATCTCCAAGATGCGCTGGAGCTCATATGCGCTCATGTGGCAATCCTAATGTACGTACAAGCAGATTTCTTATCTTTTCATCCAATTATAAATCCAAGCCCAATATTATAAACATTGGAACAAAGGAATGGTTGCAGAGAGTTCTAATTGCTTTCCAACTGTGCTTCTACCTGTGTATCCACGGCTCAATTTTTTTGACAGCCCAATCAGCTAATTCAGACTTTTAAAACATGTATATTTGCTGGAGCAGTCCACACAGGGCTTGGAAAGAAGTAATGTTTTGCACAGCTGCAGAGATAATACAGTCATGCACATTCTTTTGGGCGGAATTGGGTTTTAAGCACATTTCTTCACGTGTTTTTCAGCTATTAACCCAATTCCACCTGCACTTTCCACAGATTTCATTTAGCCCCCTTTTTATCCTGGTTTCTTTTGGGTTTTTACACATGTGTAGAAGGGCCCTTAGTTTCTCATGAGAACCCAAGCTATGAACTAGTACACAGATTTGGTCTTTAAAATGTGTTGTTGGCCCCTGTTCCTGTTTGAAGACAGGAAATACGTTCCTGTTGGAGATCTACATTTCCTCAGGGCGACTTCTTGAACTATTGGAAATTTTTAGAAGTGTTTCCTTTTACTTGTGGCTATGTATCAGAGCCCCCCGGTGGCACAGTGGGTTAAACTGCTGACCTGCTGAACTTGCTGCCCGAAAGGTTGTGGTTCAAATCTGGGGAGTGAGGTCAGCTCCCGCTGTTAGTCCCAGCTTCTGCCAACCTAACAGTTTGAAAACATGCAAATGTAAATAGATCAATAGGTACTGCTTCTGCGGGAAGGTAACAGCGCTCCATGCAGTCATGACATCCACATGACCTCGGAGGTGCCTCGGAGGACAATGCTGGCTCTTCAGCTTAGGAATGGAGGTGAGCACCATCCCCCAGAGTCGGACATGACTAGACTTAATGTCAGGGAAAACCTTTATCTTTACTATGTATCAGAGACAACATGTCTCTGTAATGGTTTTTATGGAACACAGAAAAAATACTCTCTTGTATGCACAGGCAACCGTTTGGGTACTGCGTGTGCAGAATCCTAGAGTAGATACACCTTTGGTCTGATCCAACAAGACTCTTTGGGTCACCTTCATCTGCAGTGGCATCTCAGTATCCAAAGCAGTGCAGTGACCCATCTTGTCATGTTTAACTCTGCCCAGGCTGAGAGAGGTCAGTTTCTGAGACACGAAGCCCTCACAAGATAAGTATCCTCAAGCAATGCCTCTACATAAGACTTTGGGGACATACAACTCTATCTCAAAACAAGATACACTCTGAAGTTTACTGGACTTATCTGCAATGTTTCCAGACAAATGAGAATTCTTTATGTCCCATTTTATTTGAATGCACATGCAACCCCAAATATTTCCTTCAGTTTCTTCAAGTTTCATGCAACATGAAGGACAACAGATGGGTTTGAAGAACATCAGCAAATTCAGCAGGTTGCTATGCCTGGTGACAATAAAAGCTCTCAAGGACTCAATGAAGGATAGTAGTCTCAGGTTGCCCTATTTTCGCTGCATCTGGGTCACCCATAAGTTGATATATATACCAAAATAAGTTGACAAACCATGATGCCACATTCATGATTTCCATAGCTGAAGATGGAATCAACACCAGACATATTATCACACCAGGGTTTTAAAGCTGGAAGCTCTGCATTTCTACTGCCTGCAGAATTCTGAGAAATGTAGTTTGAGAAGATGAGGACCTCTATAGCAGAGAATTCAAAAGGGCTCTGCCCTAAACTACATTTCTCAGAATTCTGCATCTGGCAGAAATGATGGGCTTCCCATTTTAAAGCCTTGGTGTGATAACGTCACTTGTCACCAGAGTCATAGTCCAATACTCAAATCACTATACCACACAGACATCACATGCAACTCCTGGAACGATTCCATCAGCGCTGCCTCCGGGTAATCCTGCAAATCTCTTGGGAAGACAGGCGGACAAACGTCAGTGTGCTGAAAGAAACAAAGACTACCAGCATTGAAGCAATGGTCCTCCGCCATCAGCTCCGCTAGACTGTCCACGGTGTCCGGATGCCCAACCACCGTCTCCCAAAGCAGTTGCTCTACTCCGAACTCAACAACGTAAGTGGAATGTTGGCAGGCAGGAAAAGAGATTTAAAGATGGGCTCAAAGTCAACCTTAAAAACTCTGGCATAGACACTGAGAACTGGGAAGCCCTGGCTCTTGGGTGCTCCAGCTGGAGGTCAGCTGTGACCAGCAGTGCTGCAGAATTTGAAGAGGCACGAATGGAGGGCGAAAGAGAGAAACGTGCCAAGAGGAAGGTGCGTCAAGACAACCCAGACCGGGATTGCCTTCCACCTGGAAACCAATTCCCTCACTGCGGGAGAAGATGCAGATCAATAGGACTCCACAGTCACCTACGGATCCACCAGAAAACTGATCCTGGAAGACTACTATACTACTCGGCCAATGAGGGATCGCCTAAGAAGAAGAAGTAAGAAGACCACACAGACTTCGACACCTTTTAAAAAAACTTTTATTGTCTGGGATTCCTTTTGCATAGGCAAAAAAATTACAATCTGTAGATTAAAAAAAATAATGAACAAAACAGTGCAGCATTTGCAAGAGGCTACAGTCTTAAGATACAAATCCCCCACCTTTGCCCTCCCTGCATTGTAAAAAGCTGGTTTTCTTTTTCTTAGAAGCATTATTATCATTATTATAAATACAGTGCCACCATTGTGCTTGATGCTTTACAGAGTGAAAGAGGACCAGACATAACAGGGAGAGGGGAAAAAAAGAAGCCATGCTGTGGACGGCGTTTCCTGTTTGTCAGTACTCTGCAAAACTCAGCAATGCAGAAGGCAATTCCACTCTGTGGGTGCCCTCTTAAGTCTAGGAGATTCAGCACAAAAAGGTAATAAGATTCAGCACAAAAAGGTAATAATCTGCATGAGACAGCAGTGCCCTGGTTGCAATCATGGAGCGAACATGGATCTGAAATTGATTCAGTTTCCATAGAACCAATGGATGTGCTAATAAACTGTTTAGAACAGGTATGGACAGACTTGGGTCCTCCAGGT